ATAGAACAATAAGCTACAGCTCCTGGTGCTCTAAGAAACGTGGCGGAGGACGGAAATTTCCTTGCTTAAGTTGCTTAAAAGCGAGGTCGAAACGAGCTCCAAAAAGCCAAGCCGCAAATATCTGGAGACCCTTCAGCCAAACTGTGCCAATGTTAACGGTGAACTTTGTTTTTGAGCATACCATGACAGCTGTAAGGACGGACAGGATCCCAAATAGGGCAAACATTATATACATTGTATCCTGTCGAGCTTCCGCATCCAGTCGAGCTTGTTCAGTTTCCTCCGAAGTTTTCTGTTGCTTTGCCCGAAAATGAGCCTGCTCCGCTGTTTGGGAGGGAAAAATGGATTCAATGAACTTTTCGACCTATAAAATGCAAAATAAACCACCCAAATTAGAATGCAGCAATGGGAACATACAAGAGATAGAATATAGGTGAGGAGATACTAGACGAACCTTGCCACAGACGACACTGATTTTCAGGAAATTAGGGTCCTTGGGTGTATTTTTCTTGTGGATTTTGCGAATGTATAGCTTAAATACATCGCAGAATACCCGCACATTCTGTGTCGATTGGACCATGAGCTGACAGGCGATGCCCTTAGTGATCTTAACATTACGCTCAAATATGGCCTCATTCCGGAAACATAGTTCGAGGGTTGCAATGGCCATAGACTGGGGAATTGCACAGAAATTGAAAATACTCTGCTCTTTAAGCCCGGCAAGATAAAAAAGGCACTCGTCAGCGTGATCAAGAGCATTAAGGATCATCTCTGCGTTGCAGTTCAAGGCAACGGTTCTGTTTTCAGGTTTGAATAGGTCTTCAAACTGATCGACATGTTTTGACCAGATTTCCTTTGGCCAGAAGCAGCGCTTGTCAACGTGATCCTCTTTGACATCCCGAATAATGTTTGTCTTTTGAAGAAACAAACCCATTGAGATATAGAGCTCCGGGCGATTCAAAAGCGCTGGGTTGGCGAATCCAGCCTCAACAAAAAGTCTGGTGAGTCCCTCACCAACAAGGCC